CAGTCGAATACACGGGAGTCCAGCGACGTAACCATTACACTATCTGCTGGTCTCATGTCATGTAATTTTTGATGGACTCCTGAACTCAAGATATCTTGGTGAATATTTACAACAGATATAATTATGTTAATAATTTATACCGATTCAGGGAGATTAATCCAAAATACCTCATGATCATCTTGATATTTTTCTTTCTTTTGTTTTTAGGTTTAAATTGAACAAAAAGTTGTTTTTGTTTTATAACCAAATTGCATTTAAAAAATCATATTACATTTAGGACTATATATATAAAAAAAAATCAAAATGTGCTTATTCTTGCTTTATATTATTTAATTTATTTCTATGATTTAATTTCTATTATTTAATTTTAGTATAGGCACTTGTTTTTGAATAAACAGAAAATTAATAGAATGATACACAACAGTCAAACCATAGGAGTAGCTACCTCAGGGGAAATGCTTTTGCTTAGTGTAGAAAACTTATGGAAAGTTTTCATAATAATCTCCCAGTAAATATCTTTTATAATAATAGGAAATATTAGGTATTGTAATAGATGAATTTTTCATTATAAAATATCTGACATCCTACTATTGAAGAAAAACATGAAATCAATTTTTGGAGGTTCATATCAATGATAACCAGGCCCAGCTCAGGTGGTGGGTGCCGGACGCTGCTGTTTGGCAAGCTGAAGCCACTTGGGAAGCCCACGTAGAATTCCCAGCCATGGTGGCGTGCACTTGTGGTGCCAGCTACCCAAGAGGCTGACGCAGGAGGGCCTGCGACGTTGCAAGACTCTGTCTACAAACAAGAAAACTAAACAAAAAACACTTCCTACTTTATTTTTCAGAAGCTCACCTCCGGACTACCCACTCAACACCACCAGTGAGTCAGTGTAGATGAGCAGCCCCCTCTCCTTTCAGGGAAAATGATGACCACATGCGTGGCTCAGAGTTCTGCTCCTGGAAGAACAGTTTCTTCACTGTTGTCCTCATGGCTCCCCCTGAGCAGGGCTATTTGCTATCACCAGCCACTTTAGAGAGATTGATATGATGTTTATTTACTTATTCATTTTTAATTGACAGAGAAAAATATTTATGCATTTTATGAAATATGTGACATGGAATGATTAATCAAGCTAATGAATGCAGTCCTCAACTCCTATGGTCGTCTTTTTGTACACTGAGAATATTCCAATTCTAGTCTCTTATTATCAAGTATACCACACAGTATTTTTTTTTTTCAAGGATTTTGCCATAGGGCACATGTGCTCACCGGAGAGTGACAGAGAGAGACAGAGAAAGAGAAAGTGAGAAATCATCCCCTGGAGGGTTGGCCATGCTGCAATCTCATCTTCTCCATTCTCCTGGGATTGTGGGCATGCGCACGCATGTGTCCAGAGTGATTTTCAAGCTGCTGGTTCTGGGACTTGAACCATGGCTGGCCCTGTGGGAGTCCAGCGCCTTAACTACTAAGCCACCTTCTGCCTCCCATACATTGTTATTAACTGTAGTTATGCTGTACAGTCAGTATTTACGTTGCATTTCTCCTCTCTAACTGCAATTTTGTACGCTCGGACCACCACCTCCTCATTTTCTTCCCACTCCTGGTAAGCATCATTCTTCTCTGTGCTTCTATGGATTCAACACATGCATGTGATAATGTAGGTCACATATGTGATATCATGCAGTATTGGTTTCTTTGTGTTTGGCATCTTTAACTTAGCACGATATACTCCAGGTGCGTCCACAATGTTACAAGTGCCCGCATTTCTGTTGTTAAGGCTGAGTGGCATTCCATTCTGCCCCTTCCCTTTCCTTACCCATTTTTCTGTCATCTGACATTTGACTTGCTTACATGTCTTGGCTATTGGGAATAATGCATCAATCATCGTAGAAGAGGGGACAGCTCCTTGATATACTGGTTTCATGTTTTAATCCATATATTAGTATTTGCTGCAGTAAATACTAGTTCCATTTTTAATTTTTTTAGAAACTTCCATAATGTTTTTATTGATGGCTAATTTACATTTCCGCCAACAGTGAACAAGGTTCTCTTTCCTCTATGGTCTTGCCAATACTCGTTAACTTTCATCTTTTTTTTTTTTTTTTGAGAGTTTTTTTGCTATAGGGCATGTGTGCTCACCAGAAAGACAGAGAGACAGAAAGCAAGAAATCACCCCCCAGAGGGGATGGCCACGCTTCAATCCTTCTTCTCCATTATCCTCTTGGAATCCAGGGCACGCACGCACACGCACTGGTGTGAGTTTAAGCCACCAGGTCCGGGCCTCGAACCGCAGTCGACCATATGGGAGTCCAGCGACATAGCCATTACGCCAACTGCTGGTCCCAACTTTTATCTTTTTGATAAAGGCATTGATAAAGGTGTGAGCGGCTATCTCATTCCGGGCTTAAATCACATTTCCCTGATACTCCGCGGTTACTGAACCTTTTTGTGACACAAGCCTGTTGGCCATTTGTATTTTTTTTTTTTTTTTGAGAAACATTTATTCAGTTCCTTTGCACATTTTTAAATGATTTATTTTCTTGCCGTTGATTTGCTTGAGTTCCTTATATATTTGAATATTAACTCCCTGTTACATGGTTTGCAAGTACTTTTCTTCTCTCCTTAGACGGCCTCTCTATTCCGTTGGTCGTCTCCTTACTTTCAGTTTGATGCCATTTCATTTGTACCTTTTTTCTTTTTTTGTTCATGCTTTTACGGTCATATTTGAAAATATTAAACAAACTAATGTCAAGAAGCTATTTCCTGACCAGCTAGATAAGCACCTTGGGTCAAATGCTTGGGTTGAGCCCTGAACCTTGCAGCTTGAAAACCATGCCGGGTGCACAAACGTGCTTGCCCAAAATCCTGAGAGGAGAGCGGAGTAGAGGGAGTTGTGGCATGGCCATGCCCCCTGAGGAGTGCTTTCTTACTTTCTCTCCTCCCCCCCTTCTCTCTTTCTATCTCTATGCCCTATAACAAAGTTAAGCACACAAAAAAGAAGCTATTTTCCCAGGTTTTCCTCTAGATTTATAGTTTTCAGCTTTAGATTTAAGTCGCATGTATTTTTTTTTTAGTCGAATGTATTTTGAAGTGATTTTTGTATACAGCATGAGATAGGAATCCAGTTTTATTCTTCTGTATGTGGATAGTCACTTTTTCAGCACCATTTGTTGAACAGACTTATTGAACTGTCCTTCCCACGTTGTGTGTTCTTGGCGCTTTCGTCAGAGATCAATTGACGATGAACAGGGGGACTTATTGCTGGATGCTCTGTTCCTTTCTATTATCCCTATAGCTGCTTTTATGCTATTGTATTGTTTTAGTTGCTAAAACTCTGTAGTATGTTTCGAAATTGGGTAATGTGAGGAAGGTGATCATACTCTTTTTGCTCAAGAATCTTTTTGTTTATTTGAGGTTACAAATTTTAAGTTTTGGTTTTTTTTTTTATTTGTCTGAGAGAAAATGGCACTGGGATTTTGATGAGGACTGCATTGAACCTGTACATCATTTGGGCTATGAATATTTCAACAGTATTAACTATTGAAAAATCATAAACATGGCCTGTCTATTTACTTGTATCTTTTTCTATTTTCTTTCATTAGTGTTTGACAGTTTTTACTTTACAAATCTTTTATTTCTGAGGTTAAATGTGTTCCTAAGTTTTCTTTTGTTTTGCTTTTTGAAGTTATTGTAAATGGAATTGTTTTCTTGATTTCTTTCTTGAAGAACTTGTTTTCAGTAGGTAGAAGTGGCATTGCTTTTTTGTACATTGATGTCACATTCTGTAGCTTTACTAAATTACTATATTCTAACAACTTTTTGGAAGTTAATTCTTCAGGATTCTCTACATATAAGATTATATCACCTGCTTTGCCAATGTGGATGCCTTTATTTATTTTTCTTGCCTAATTTCTGTTTAGAACTTTCAGTACTATGTTAATATAAGTGCTATGAGTTCCTATTCATAGAGAAAGTGTTGACTTTCTGTCAGGGTCCAGCCTCGGCGGGGGTGGGGTATCTCATTGGAGGCGGCGCAGGAAGGAAGGACGGGGGCCTCGGTGCCATTTTCATGCACGTCCTCAGTCGGACACCCCCAGAGATTGCTCTCTGAAGAGTGACAACTGCTAGGAATCATCGTGCCTTTTTATTGAAAATGTGATACATGCAAGTAAACGGGTGAGGGGCTACGTGTTCTAATTATCAGTTCATAAAGTTTTAAAAATAGGGAAAATAGATTCCACTCAGCGTTGGATTAAGGGTGGGTCCATTACAGTTCAGCAATTGTTTGATGTAGGCAGGTCTTTATGGAATGCAGTTTTGGGAAAGTAGCTCCAGCAAGTAGAGATAGTTATCAGCTGATACAGCAGCCATCTTGTAATTACTGAGCACGATGCTAAGAAAAGAAAATCTCGAGTATAGATATTAGTTCTTATGGATCTCAATAATGATATTTATATAATTTTATAGGGATCTAAAACTTAATTCAAGGAATCCTAATATATTTATCTATTTTAAAGGGGTGAAGCTATTGCTCACTTGGTGAGGGCAGGGATACAGCTTTTTTAACTGGCGGCAAAGTGACTAACAAGTTAATGAAGAACTTTAAAGTGGGTTTGTGGTATACCGAAGCATTCTATTGTGCCTGTGGCGCCACTGTTACGTATTTTGTTAGAACATCAGCTACCGTGGGGCGGGAGTGTCCTGGGCCAGTTTTGGCCTAAATCTATTTTATGTAAAGAAAAGATTATTTTTAAGCTTATGTCAAATGTGTCCTGACCAAAGGTCAAGAAGATTTCTGCTTAGATGGAACTTCAGCACACCCTCCATTGTGACTGCAGGGATGAAGCATTGTAATTAACAGTAGGTGGTCAGGGCAAAGGGGAGCGGTCAGGGGACTTTCGGGAAATCTTATCACATACTCAGGATGTATGAGGGAGCTATGTAATTCTTTTATAGTAGTATATCAGGGAGTCAGAGGGGGGTCGCTTCCCAGCAAGGCTACCGCAGTCTCTGGAGTGTACAAGTGGTCTTGCCGACATGCTGAGTCAACCCAAGCTTTGCTCATAGGTTGGGGGGAGGGGGGTGTACAACAACAGCCTTGCCAACGTGCTGAGCCGACCAAAGCTATGCTCAAAGGTTGAAGGCTCAAACAGATCCTGGGCCCCTGCCGGGTCAGACTCCTCCAACTTTCAACTTTTCACACTTAAAGTGCACCGTAAGCTTGTTATATGTTACCTTTATTAAATTGAGGTATATTTCTTCTATTTCTAACTTGTTGAAAACTATTATGAAATATGCTGATTATTGTCAAAGTATTTTTCTACATCTACTTAGAAGAGCATATGTTTTTTTTTCTTCATTCTGTTAATGTGGTATATTTATAGATTGTGTGCAACAAAGCATCCTTTTATCCCAACAGTAAATGCATTTGATTATGGTGTATGATTATTTTCATGTGCTATTGAATTCAGTTTGCTAGTATTTAGTTAAAGATTTTTGTATTTATGTTCATGAGAGCTATTGGACTGTAATGTTTATATTTTTGTAGTATTCTTGTCTGGCTTTGATATTGGGACATTGCTGATCTTATTAAAGGATTTTACATGTTCCTCCTCTTTGATTTTTTTTTGGAAGCATTTGCAGAAGAATGGGGTTAATTCTTCTTTACATGTTTAATAGAATTCACAAGTGACTATGAGGTCATGGGCTTTTCTCTGATAGAAGGCTTTAAATCACTCACTCAGGGGACCAGCAGTTAGCATAATGGCTATGTCACTGGACTCCCATGTAGTCGACTGCAGATCACGTCTGGGAGTCGACCACGGATCATATCTGGGACCCGGTGGTTTAAAACTCATGCCGGGCGCATGTGCATGCGTGCCCAAGATCCCGAGAGGAGAATGGAGGAGAAGGGATTGCGGCATGGCCATCCTCCCTGGGGGGTTATTTCTCGCTTTCTGTCTCTCTGTCTCTCTCTGTCTGTCTGGCGAGCGCATGCGCCCTATAGCAAAAACCTCTTAAAAAAAAAGAAAAAAAAATCATTCACTCAGTATACTTATTCATATTTCATCTCTTCAGATTTTCTGTTTCTTTCTGATTGGATCTTGGTAGGTTGTATATTTCCAGAAATTTATTCTTTTCTTCTATGTCATATGCCAATTTGTTGACATATTATAATAATCCTTTATAGTCCTGTCTATTTCTTGTTACTGGTGGTAACATAATTTTTTTTGTTATTAATTGTTTGAGTCTTTTCTCTTTTCTTTTCAGTTTAGCTAAAGTTTGTCAATATTTTTTATGTGTTTGAAAAGCCAACTCTTAGTTTCATTTGATCTTGACCTTTTTTTAAAATTTCGATTATTAGATATCTTTATTATTGCTTCCTTCTGTTGACTTTGGACGTAGTTTACTTATCTTTTTCTAATTCCATCTGTGGGGTAAGATCAGAATATTTATTGGAAAATTTTTAACCTTTTTAAATTTTTTTTAACTTATGAGATGGCCTGTACATAGAGAGGGGTTATCCGAAAAAAATGCTGATTTTAATTATTTTTAATTTTATTTTCCTGACTCTATCTAGGTTCTCTATCTTCTTTTTTTTTTTAATTAGAGTTTGTCATATGCTTCATTTCTTGGCATGCTTAATTCTTTTCGCATAAAAATCTGTAGAGCTTCCAGACAGGATGCCACCTTTCAGGAAGAGATGACTCTTCGCTCACTTTTGCTACAGATACAGGGTGACTGATCACTTTTAAACAAAAAGGGACACTATACAGTTAAAGATGTGTAGATTTGATAAAGTTTAGTCTAATTCTACTTCTTTTCTTTCTTTCTTTCTTTTTTCTTTTTTTTCCTTATTTTTAGAATATAGGTCTCTGGATCTGAACTAGAATCTAATGTATTCATCATGGTTTCTCTTTCTGGCAGTTCATGGATGTTAATCTTGTTTTCCCATCATAGTGAGACGGCTAAATTCTTACTTCATTTTTCATATGATTTCAGGGTAGTACTTTATCTCCTTTCCTGGGCAGGGGCAGATTTCAGTCAGTGCCTTGAAGGCAGAATCAACCATGTGCTGGGCTCGGTTTCTGCTTTTCCTTTTTTTCGTAGATGCAGACTGGTGATGTCTCCATTTTGTCCCTCTAGCCTAATTAGACCAACAATATTTCAGCTAGCTTTCTCTTCCCACTGTCTTCTCTTCCAGAGCAAATCCCAGATTCCCAACATCTTACATGATGTCCAGATGTAGAAGTCGCTTCCAGCAAAAACAGTCCACTCAAGTATTTCATCAAGGTAAACCCTTTCCAGATCCCTGATCTGCTTAACCAATTGTTTCGGTAGCTTTCTGTGAAGAGATCATTTGCCTCTTGTAAACTTCTCTAGCACAGTCAGTTCTTACACTAATCTGTCTTTTTGATCAATACGTCCATCACATTTCCCACAAATACAGTCTGTATTCATAGGCCTCCAAAATCACATTGAAGTACCGATTTTCCATCAACACAATCAGCACTAGATATTATTAAAATAGTTTTACAATTTGCTACAGGAAAGAATAAAAAGTTGCCTTACAATTTTTTTGTCATTTCACGCCTCCTATAGAGTTGAACATCCAATTTATTATTATTTTCTCCTTTTTTGGAGATATTTGCTATAGGGTATGTGTGCTTGTGGAGGGACAGAGAGAGACAGAGAGAGAATGTGAGAAATCACCCCCCAGGAGGAATGACCACATTGCAATTCTTTCTCTTCCATTCTCCTTTTGGGATTTTTGGCACACACATATGCACCTGGCATGAGTTTAAAGGCACTGTGTCCAGGACTTGAACCGTGGCTGACCCTGTGGGAGTCCAGTGCCTTAACTACAATGTCACTTGCTAGCCCCTATTCTTTTACCTTTTGAATTTCTATTTCTTTGAAAGAACTGCTTACATTATTTACCCAGAATTCTGAAGGATTTTATTCATAAGTTTGTTTCTTTTGTTCTGAGTTACTTATTTTATGTGCTTTAATACCAATGTGCGAAAGCTGTCTTTATACTACAAATATTAACAGTATTCTATTTTTAAAATATTTTATTATAGATTTTCTCCTGCTCTATCTCTGCATTTTGAATTTGCATTTGATTCCGAAACTTTACTTGTTATGATTTCAAAGTTGTTCATGTTTCCAATCATAGTTTGATGTTTTCCTGCCACTTAATTCATCAGTAAAAATCGGATACTATGAACTGTGTTACATATTTTCACCTTCTACATAATGGCTTTTAAAATAGGTAACTCTTATATGTAGATATTATAAATTTTTCCAGATATCACATGGATCTTGCGCAAAAGTAATACCAACTGAGATCAAAATAATATTTTATTCATTTCAGTTTCTTGTTTAGAGAACTACATTTATACAAGGGAAATTTTCAGCTCCCATGCAAGAGAATCCGGTGAAATTCATGCAAGTCTTTACAAAGACATATAAGGTCCAGAGATGTCATAGATGAACACTTTATGATGCACTCATGAAATAAAGTTAACCACAATAACTGATCATCCTAAAATACGCCGTATGCATCTACTACCTTGGGAATGAAATCTGGAGTTTAGTTCAGTAATTTCTAATTATCAGTTTCCCTAAAATAATTGATAAGGGGATACATTAAAAATGTTGATCAGTGATAAATTTCCAGAATGTTTCAAGAATGTGTGAGTCGGTATTTAAAATATAGATTTCGTATTTCGATTTTTATTCTCTTTACTAGGAAATGCATGTGTTCATTTAAGGGCACATCACCATGTAGGGAACAGAACTCTTCATGATTACAGTTACGTAGACATAATGCAGGATAAAACGTCTATTTTTACATGATGTGGTTTACAGATACATCCCTTGAATCTTGAGACTGAGCTATTCAGAGGCCTTTAGCAAATGCAATCCAAGCAGAGTCGTGGAACGGGCTTGCCTTGGGCCGGGCTTGCTGTCTCCATGTTGGAGCACTCTGCACAGCCACCCACAGGGCCCAGAAGGGTTGAGGACATACGTGGTCATCCTTTCACTTGGCTGACACTGACCCAGTGAACGGACATTAGTTAAAGCTGGTTTGGAACATCAGGCCCTGGTCAGAACCTTGCCCTGCCCTCAGTGGGCTAATAGGTTAGGAAACAACAATAGATATTTGTTGTTTTATGTCACTACATTCTGGGATGGTCTGGTGTGCATCAAAGGCTGCTATAGAATTCTTTCTACGGAGCTGCCTCCTGAGTTTCTGACACCATGCCTTGTGCACATAGAACATGGGAAACTGAGCAGAACTCTTACGGTTTGCCTTGTTCAAGACTTTATTCCTAAGGAAGGAATGAGCAATTTTGCTCTACAAATAGGGAATAGGAGTGTTGCCTATACAAATTAGATAACTAAAATAAACAGCTAATACTGTTTCCAAAGAACACATTTTTAAACAATACACTTATTAGGCAATCTAAAATTTAAGAGACAAGACTAAAGTTGTGAAATGCTTTAATATAAGTACAATCAATAGGGAACTTCTCACTGAAGTGCGTTTGAAACCGACCATGTGAATTCAGTCAGCAACATGGCATTTTCCTAAGGCATTTAGGAAAATCGATTTTGACTTCCTTGGCTCAATGAGGAATTCAGTAAAACTGACGCTAACTGAGCATGCCTTTTGTAATTGAACAAAGAAAACAATAATCATTTCTAGGTACTCCTTGACAGCTTTCCTCCACAGTTATACTAAATATCAGTCTACAAAGCAATCCCAGGGGCTGCGGCTCCTGTCTCTTCCTTCTTACAGAAGGTAAGTATGACCTTCACGTGACGTGCATCAGAAATGTTTTCATTCTAGTTATCTCTTTCCCCCTAACTTCTTATTGTTTTTCACTTATCTTCCATCTTTTCCTATCTTCTTTATCTTTATATCTTATTCCTTCTTTTTTCTTCAACTCATTTTCTTCATTTTTGCCAATGTCGAAATAATATCAAATTTCTTAGGTATATCTCCAAAAGAACATGTTGAGCATCATCATGAATATCCATGTAGACTGAACCATTGCAGTCATTTTATATCATACAAATTAACTAAAAAACAAAATAACATTTTCACCAATTGTCAGGAAACTTTCCTGAGCATCCACCTTTGAATGACTACTGTCATTTATACCTTGTCTCATTTAACCCATGCTGCAAATTTATTAGCTATATTTATTACGCTTGTGTGTGTGTGCCCAAGATCCTGAGAGGAGAATGGAAGGAAGAGAATTGCATGGTTTCTCCCTTTCTCACTCTGTCTCTCTCTGTGTCTCCAGTAAGTGCATGTATCCTATAGCAAAAATTTCTCTTAAAAAATAAAAGAAGGGACCAGCAGTTAGCGTAATGGCTATGTCATTGGACTCCCACATAGTTGACTGCGGTTCGCGTCCCGGACCCGGTGACTTAAAACTCACGCCAGGCGCGTGTGCGTGCGTGCCCAGGATCCCTAGAGGAGAATGGAGGAGAAGGGACTGCGGCGTGACCATCTCCCCTGGGGGGTGATTTCTCGCTTTTGTCTCTCTGTCTCTCTCTGTCTGTCTGGCGAGCGCACACACCCTGTAATGAAAACCTCTCCAAAAAATAAATAAATAAATAAACATAGAAAATAAAAAAAGAAAGAAAATGACTCTCATTCAGGTTGTACAAAGTCACATAAATCATGCAGAAAGCACGTTAAGTGATTAGGGAGACTTCAGAGCTTCAAGAAATGTATCTACCTTTTTTTTTTTGGAGAGGTTTTCGCTATAGGGCACGTGCGCTCGCCAGACAGAGAGAGACATAGAGACAGAAAGCGAGAAATCACCCCCCAGGGGATGGTCACGCCACAATCTCTTCTCCTCCATTCTCCTCTCGGGATCTTGGGCACGCACGCACACGCGCCCGGCGTGAGTTTTAAACCACTGGGTCTGGGATGCGAACCGTGGTCAAATACATGGGTGTCCAGCGACATAGCCATTACGCTAACTGCTGGTTCCCAAGAAATGTATCTACCTTTTGAAGTCAGATATATCACATCTAAAAACTTGATGATAGTCAGTTTCAAGACTGATCGAGCAGCTAAGTTGTCCTATCAAATCCAAGCTGCAGATACCTTTCTGTGATCTTTTTTGCAGTATGTCAGAAATTTATCACAGGCTTGTCACGGTTAAGTCGTGTCATAGCCGAGGTGTTCACCATCAGGTCCTAGGAAGTGCTTTCCGGGGAAGTGTTGGGATTCCTGAGAAGCCAGAGACAGCTCGCAATGCAATCACCTTCTCTTCATGAACGAGGAAGCCCTTCTTATACATCCCAGTTGAAAACACTGTGTAGATTTCATTGATCGATGCTAGGTAGTATGGATATTGCTGTTGGTGAATCTGGGAGACACGAGCTTTGGTGTATTCTCCTCACTTATGGGAAGGGACTCTGTCAGCACAGAGGAAGTGATAGAAGAGGAGTCGTCAGACAGGAATTTGCCTTGATGTGGTATTGGACCAGGTGTTCTCAATGAAATGTTTCCCACGTTAGAGGCCATGCCATACCCATCAGACTAGATATCCAATACCAGATTATTTGGTACTGTTTTGAATAACATAAAGTGATTTTCTTATTTTTATAGCCTATGGTAGATAGCATTTATCATCAAGGAGCACAGAATGATGGCCAATGCGTCCACTCTTTTTCACGGATGGTCACTGTGTACGCGATACTTATTCATAATTAACCATCAATTTGATTTAATTTCACTCTTCTTTACCTTTGTCAGCTATTTTTTTCCTGAAAACGTCTCTATGATCTGAATACTCTGCACATACCAAAAAAGATCGTAACAGTATTTTTCTTTACAGATTACTGAAGGCAGAGTGATTCTGTGCAAAGGTCTATTTGCTGCTAATTCTGCAAAGGGTTTCCATGCTTTTTAGGGTCAAAGTCAAAATTATTATTATTTTTTCCCATAGGGTGTGTGCACTTGCCTGAGAGAAACAGAGAGAAACAGAATGAGGGAAAATGAGAAATTACACCCCCCTCCCCTGTGGGGAGGGCCACGCTGCAGTCCCTTCTCCTCCTGGGAGTGCAGGCACATATGCACAAATATCCAGTGTGATTGTCAACCTGCCAGGTGTGAGACTTGAACTGTGGTCAGCCATGTGGGAATCCAGCACCTTAACCATGACGCCATCTGCTGGCCCCTAAAGCCATGTGTTTGCAGGGAGTTACAAGGTCTCTTACGATGTGAGAGTGTTCGTTGCTTCTCTGATTTCATCTCCCCACAGCCCACGGTCTCTTTGAGCCGTCCTCAGGACACTCCTGGAAAGCTGGTCTCTGAAGCATCTGTACCGGCAGCTCTCTATCCTGGGGTCTCCACGTGGAAGTTGCTCTCCTCATGGAACCGCTCAGTCAGCTGTGGGAAAGCGCATCGTCTACCAGCCCTCCGCCCTCTTCTTGCTCTGGCTCACCTCACTGCTCTCAGCATCCCTGCTGTCCCAAACACTTGCGGTCATTTGTTGATATTACTTTTCCCCCCCACTATCAAGAAGTCTCCATAAGAGGAGCTAGTTTTGGCTTTTTACGTTACCCTTCTGTTCGCAGCACCGGAAGAAGACTGGGAAGGTTCTAGGCATTCGCTAAAGTTTTATCAAATGTTTAGTGCAACCAACAAGAGCAGCCACAGCTTCTAAGCAGACAGGTATGGAAGAAGCCACTTTCCTTCTTTTTGTTTTTGGTTTGTTTGTTTGTTTGCCATGGGGCATGAGTCCTCTCCAGAGAGAGTCAGAGAGTGTCAGTGAAAGAGAGAAATCCCACCAGGGATAGTGAGCATGCCACAACCCTTTTTCCTCCATTCTCCTCTCAGGATTTTGGGCAATCATGCACAGGTGCCGGCGTGATTCCTGAGTCCGGGGTGTGGTCAGCCACGTGGGCATCCAGCACACAGCTGCCACACTTCCTGCAGGCCCCAAAGAGACACATGTCTTGAAAGAATAACATGAAGAGTCAATAATGTCTATCTAAATGGATCTAAAATGTAGTGAGGGCTTTTTCCTCCATAGACTAAGGATTATGTGTGTCTTAGATGGAAGTTAATCAAGATGCAGAGCACTAAATTAATTCAAGCAAGCAAGAGCACCTCCCACCCACACATACATGCACTATTCTCCCGCCCTCCGAGGATGACCTAGGTACGGCTGTAGCCCTGCTGAATGTCCATGTGATGTTTTCCAGAACAGGCAGACTACTCATGCTGACGTCAGTCACGGCACCCTCATTGCTCCTTTGGTGTTAGGATTGCCTAAACTAGTTCTGTACGTATCCAGACTTCTTCCAAATAACGTATTGTTTAATCTAGTCGGTGTTAGTTATATTGTGTTCAAAAGAATCCTAAGTTAGTCACAAAAATAATGTAAAAATATTGGGAACCAGCAGTTAGCATAATGGCTATGTAGCTGGACTCTCATGTAGTCAACCGCGGTTCATGTCCCAGACCCGGTGGCTTAAAACTCACGCCGGGCGCGTGTGCGTGCGTGCCCAGGATCCCGAGAGGAGAATGGAGAAGAAGGGATTGTGGCATGACCATCCCCCCTGGGGGGTGACTTCTTGCTTTCTGTCTCTCTGTCTCTGTCTGTCTGGTGAGCGCATGCGCCATATAGCGAAAACCTCTCCAAAAAAAAAAAATGTAAAAATATTGAGATAACTTTTTTTTTTTAGATTTTTGCTGTCGGATATGTGTGCTTACCGGAGAGAGACAAAGTGAGAAATCATCCCCAGAGGGACTGGCCATGTCCAACCCCTCTCCTGCATGCTCCTCTCGGGATTTTGAGCATGTATGCTTATTTGCCCCCTTGTTCTGGAACTCAAACCACCGACTGGCCACGTGGGTTCAGCACCTGAACTGCTACCCTACTGGCTGACCCAAAGTAAAGTGACTCTTTTTTTTTTTTTTTTTCAATTTTCATTGAACTCTTTCAGTTAAACATAGGTGATGCCTTACATAGAAAAATAGGTTGCAATTGGCTGAAAAAATAATACAGCCCAATGAAAGTAATACTAACAAGAAGTCTCACATGTAAATGTTTGGGTAATCACCAAGAATAACTTGTTACTAGCCTTCAAGTACTGTATGTTTATACATTATTCAGTTACTTATTAATTCCTTTTCTCCTACTCCCAACTTCTCATCTATGCGAGAGAAACAGGCTTTTGTTTTGACTACTGGAATTCTCCTTTAGCCTTGAACGCCTCACTTGACATTTTGGTCTTTACTCACCCTTTCCCCTAGACAATATGTCATGTGATCCTGACAGCCAGGAAGGGGAAGTCTGCTCGGACTTCACATTTCCCACGCCCTGTATTGGGAGGCAGGTTAGATACCCTCATCGTTTGTCAATACCTGCCCTGTAACATCCATTCTCGACCTTCTTCTCTACCTCCCTGTATGCACTGACTTGTGTGATCAAGCCCAGTATTAACTGAAGACGTTGGGACGTGGCATTCCCCTTTATTCTCCAGGCTCCATGTGGACACCGCATAGACACTCTGAGCTGCTAGCTCTGTGATTTTGTATTTTCCTAGATTTAAGTTCTCATTGCACTTCTTTTTTTTAAAGAATTATCTATCTATCTATTTATTTATTTATTTATTTACTTACTTACTTATTTATTTTAATTTGACCAGAAAGGTACAGAGAGAGAGAGGGAAAGTGAAAAAGCAACCCACGAGGTCCAGGACTCAGCCATGTGCGAGTCCAGTTCCCTTAACCACAATGCCGCCTGCTGGCCCCAAGTTTTCATTGCACTTCTCTCACCAACCACTGTAACTCTACGCTCTTGACTTTCTCATGATGCGAAACAGTTTCTTTTCTAAAGTCAGACGGTTAGAAATTCTGCGATCTTAGCAAAATTTTTATAGCTCACTTGCACAAGTAATGCACCATCCTGGGTAGAGGACCGAGAAGGCTGCTCTACCCTGAGTCACCTCTGTTTCCCGAAACCTTCTTCTTTGCTACCTCTTCTGACTTTGGATGTCTGTCACAGAAAACTTTGTTTCAACAATATCAGCTAAATCTCTCACTGGGCTTTCATCATGGCTTCCAGGATGGAACGCCAGTGCTAAGGAGATCTTGGGTGTTGACGCTAGCTGGTGACTGGCTGTCGGCATCGGCGAGACACAGCTGAGCCCGTTCATGCACTCTCAGCCTCAGGGCCCCGAGTCTGCTCTGAGACGCTGCTCTTCCTCACCCCGGTTCGCTCACACTCAGAATACCCGTGATCACTACTTCAGACCCTTCTTTCTTTGACCCTATTTCAATCTTCAGAGTGAATCCTTCCTTGTTTATACCTAGGGGATTAACTAACTTTATACTTAGCCTACAAAATAGAAAATGTTTCATGGAACTTGTTTCCGAATACTCAGTTACACATGTTTTGGTCTTTCTCATCTTTCTTGTATATAATCATATGGGAACATCAGCACATATATAGACATGCATTTTATACACACACACGCACACACACACAGAGCCTAATAGCATGGTCACATTTACATAATGTTGATAGGATCTTTAGAGTTACTAGTGATTGTTTTCGTGTGTTAGGATGTATGTGTGTTTTATGTTGTTTTAAATTTTAAACAAGATTTTTCTATCACACAAATAATAAAACTATTACATTTTGAAAAAATTACTATGGGTTATATATAAAACTTAAAAATTTTAGGGCCAGTAGGTGGCATGGTGGTTAAGGGGCTGGACTCTTATATGTTTAGCCATGGTTCAAGTCCTTGACCCGATGGCTTGAACACATCCCAGGTGCATGTACATGTGTGCCCAATATCATAGGAGAAAAATGGAGGAGAAGGGTTTGTGGTGTAACCATTCCTTCGGGGGTAACTTCACACTTTCCCTCTCTCTGTTTGTCTCTCTGTCTCTCACCAGTAAGCACGTGTGCCCTGTGGAAAAAACCTTAGATTTTTTTTTTAACTATACAAAGTCACACATAAAGTTTTCTAATATTCATAGCAGGAAATTTGTATTCAATCTTTCTGATTCTTTGCTTTTAATTACGGCTAGGTGCTTGCAGCAATGAAACACTCTATTGTCAAAAGGTTTTAGATGTATGTTTCCACCTGTTTGTTTAGAATAGAAAGATATTTCTTCACCTTCACCCATTTTGAAAGAAATGATGATACATTAAGTGACTTTATAATCAAAATTAAATGGTGGTGCCAGCATTCCTCCTTCATGATCTTTTTCACCTTCACATTCCCTCCGGTTGTGCCCTCAACAACCACACTCTTCCATCACTGTCATGGGCTAACCTCATGGCATGCTGCTTATGGAGTAATTTACCAAGCCATCTGTCTGATTTCCATCCTCTAAGTATTTTTATATCTTATGCCCTGGCATTAAACTGCAGTCATTCAGTCAGAAGCATTTGTTTAATCTGTGAAAGATGCAGCAATTTGTCGGAAATTCCGGCTAGCGCATGCAAACATCAGCACCAGGAAGATGGTTTTTGATCCACACAGATGAGTGTAATCCTCTTTTTATTATACTTATTTATGCTTTTCCTTTCTCTGTTATTGCTTTGTCACCACCATGTTTTGTTCTCACGAGTTTTGATAATGCTATAATATGGCAAATCCTTTTATCTAGTGAAATTATCAGCTATTCTGTCTGGCGAGAAACTTGCTATTTTGATGGACTAATAAAGGTGTGTGGAAAGAAGAATCTCTGACTTAAATTATCTTTTCCAATAGGCTTTTCATTTTATGGTTTTCATGATAAACTCAATAATTCAATAGATTTGGAGCTTTGTAAACATTACCATTAAGTACTGCTCTCAAGCGCCAACTTTTCTCCTTCCTTTCAAATTACTTCTGGTATAAGGCAATTTATTTTGAGGGGATGGGTTTGGAAACCAAGGAAAAGCATTGCTCGAGTATTCATTCTTTATCACATGTGGAGTCCTTGGAAATAGGGCGTTTTAACTAGAATTTTTTTCTAAATAGTTCTAAAATGCTTTATCTCTCCCACTAGAGACACAGAGAGCACACCCAGCAGGGCCTTGATGCTGCAACCCACTCCCCGCCTCTGCCAGCATCAGCTCATGGGCATGTGTCTGCCCAGCATTCTCAGGGCAGCCTTTGGACACACACCCAGAACCCTCCCATGCAGGTCAGCCACACAGATCGCCACATTTTACCATTGTGCCACCATCCAGCCTCCTTACTATATCGATAGATTAGACATAGATATAGATAGGTAGGTAGGTAGGTAGATAGATAGATACAGATAGATAGATACATTAATGGATAGCTAGCTAGCTAGATATAGATAGATGATAGATAGATGGGTGGATAGATGGATGAATAACTAGATAGATGGATATAGATAGATAATAGATAGATGGACAGATGGATAGGTAGATAGATAGATGAATGGACGGATGGATGGATGGATAGATAATGGACAGATGGATCGATAGATGATAGATAGATGGATGGATAACTCGATAGATAGATAGATAGATGAATGGACGGATGGATGGATGGATAGATGGGTGGATGGACAGATGGATAGATAGATAGGTAGATAGATAGATAGATGGATGGACGGATGGATGGATAGATGGGTGGATGGACAGATGGATAGATAGATAGGTAGATAGATAGATAGATGGATG